AAAAAAAAAAAAGGTTGAGAAGGGAGAGGGTTGACATGTTGTGGGGTTTTAACCAATGTCATAAAACAATATGTGTACTGACTGATGAGAAACTATCTGTTCTGTAAACCTTCACCTAAAGTACAATTTAAAAAAAAAAGAGAATTGGGGGGGGGATGCAAAACCCTTACTCAGGTCACAGCCCTGATCCAATGTAAGGGGAGTTTCCCTGGGGTGTGGCCTGCATCATCTTTTATATTACAAGAGATAAAAGGAGAGAGAAGCAAGCAGAGAGGAAGGATCTCCTACCACCAAGCATGAAGATCCGGGAGAAGAGCATGTGCTTTGGACCCGGGGTCCCTATGCTGAGAAACTCCTAGACCCAGGGGAAGACTGATGACAAGGACCTTCCCCCAGAGCCAACAGAGAGGGAGAAAGCCTTCCCCTGGACCTGGCGCCGTAGCCTACTAAACTGTGAGAGAATAAACTTCTGTTTGTTAAAGCCATCCACTTGTGGTATTTCTGTTATAGCAGCACTGCATAACCAGGACACCAAGGAAGAGCAAGCAGTGGAGAGAGGGATGGAGTGGGATGGGGCCTTTCAGCAAAGGCGCTCTTAAAACAGAGAAAGCTCACTGTCCCTATCACTGGGGAATGCAGTAGCTCAATCAGCCCCCTGGGAGCTGGAGGAGCCATTATGCCCCGGAGTCCACTCCCAACTCCCACCCATGCTTCAGGCTCTTCTTCTACCTGGGAGGACTGTGGGGAGGCAACGGCAGAGACTCTTGAAAAAGGGGACAATTACCCTTTGTACAACAGCTTGTGGAAGAAAATGCCCAGCTCTGGGGATAGAGAGAAAGCAGAGGTCTCAGTGTGGAGGGAGTTCAGAGCCCCTGTCCCTCACCTCTGCAGCCCCAGAGCAGCTATCAGCCCCACCTGCTCAGGGCTGTACCTTGCCCAGTCCACAGCTGCCCAGGCCCCCAGTCCAGAAAGCTGAGGTCAGGGGAAGGCCACCTCTGGTGCTTTGCTTGTAAGGAAAGAGGAAAAGGAGGTAGAAGTTGACGTTGACTTGGGGAGGGCCTGACAGGGAACTCCACCACCCTGGATGAGTGTTCCAGCTCTGAGCCACCCTCCTGGGAAACCCCATGGAGTGGGGATGTAAGAAGGCCAGAGCACACCTGACGCCTTCCCATTCTTTCACTACAACGTTTTCCCAATCCCTGCTGGCCCTGGGGTCTCTGCCAAATGCAAGCAATGGTGGCTGACGCCCTTGCTGCAGCAAGCTTTGAACAAATAGCCTCTGTTTGTTCTCACTTTGATTGTCCTTGCTTATTTCTACAGAACCATCCCCCTCCCGCACAAACACGTTAGGAATGACAGAGAAGGGAAGTGTCGAAATTCCTCAGAGGAAACACACCCATTCAGTCTGAGCAGTTTTGTCCAGGTGGAGGCGAAGTGTCTCGTTGGCAGCTAGGGCCAGCAGGCCTCTGCTGTATTCTCCCCGGTGACTTCTGGCGGCCTTTAAAGCTTGAGTTCCTGGTTGTTTTGGAGGCAATGATGTTGAAGGCCATGGAGGTGCCAGGTATCCTCTTCAGCTGAGCGCCACTGAGAGACTGCTAAGGGAATTTGCACACCTCTGCCCTCCACTATATGAAGTCCCCCTGGCCCGACTTGCCATGCATGCAAAGAAGCTGGGACTGGGAAATGATCTTCATCCTCACATAAAGTTAGGGAACACAGCTTCACCTCTCGAGGTTTGAGCGTCTCCACTCAGTCCTTACATTCAAGTTCATTCAGGTTCCTTCTGGCACACTGAAGACAGATTTCTTCTTATAAACTTGAAGAACCTTCCAGTGACCCCCTGCTGGCCCTGGGTAGTTCCAGAGGCAGAGGCTGGGGTCACACCACAGGGAAAACTCTGCTGGTCACACACCTGTCCAAGGTGCCCAGCATGGATGGAGTTTCTTTGGACACATCCCCAGGGGAAATTGGTTTTGCCTGGGGCTCCACCAGTGCAGCTGATGTGGTGGGCTGAAGAGGAAGCCACAGAGACATGCAGGACTGCTGGGCTGGGATGCTGCACCTTACAGATAGTCTCTGTGGGGTGCAGCCCAGAGGCCTGGGTGGGCTGCACTGAGGCCAGCTTGGATTTCTGGTGCAGGAAAAGCAGGGCTGGGGAGACTGAGGCAGAAGCAGAAGCCCCAGAGGTCCTGGACTCTCTCACAGGCTGTATTTTCTGTTCTGGATGGAGGTTGGCCAAGGCTGGCCTCCAAAATAAGGGCATTCTTGCTTTGATTTGTGCTGGTTGAGAACTCTCGCTGTTCACGGGGCTGGTCTTCTTCTCCAGGCAAGATAGGGAGCTAGCAGTTTGCACTCTTGTCCATCAGTGAGACCCAGATCTCTTCCGTGTGTAACCCGTGAACACCACCAACTCAGTTTGCCAAGATCCTTGTAGTCAGTGAGTAGCTCCGTGTAACCCATGGACACCACAAACTCAGTTTGCAAGGTCCTTGTAGTCAGTCAGTAGCTCCATGTATGGTCCACATTCATCCATGGATCTTTCCTGATTTGCTTTGAAGTGTCTCTCTTACCGGGACTGACGATGAGACATTTCTTGAGCCGGTTTTCTTTCACATCCCATGAACATGGAGAAAGGAAAATGATATTTTCCAGTCAATATCTGCTTCCGCAGCTACTCAAAGTTCTGCCCACAAAAGGCAGGCATCTGTTGACCAGTGTATATACAATGACTCCCATGCTCCACATATCCACTGGGGTTTCATTGTACTTTTGGCCCTGGAATAGCTCTGGGGTAACATAATGGGGACTGCTACAAAAGGTATCCAACTTTTTGCCAAAGGCGAATTTATTGCTGAAGACAACATCTGTAATCTTGATGTCATAACAGCATCCAAGAGTAGGTTTTCTGTGTTTCACTGTGTCAAGATCATTGAACTTCGCCAGTCTTTTGGCAACTCTCCCACGAAGTAAGAAAAATGAAGACTTTGAATCGTCCTAACATAGTTATTTGAAGAGATCAGGACTGAGAAAACTCTACCTTTTCATGGAGTACACTAATGGAGGAGAGTGCTTGACTGAAGTGGCTCATGGAAATGTGAAAGAAAGTGACTCACGCTAAATTCTGCCGTGTCTGCTGTGCAGGACTGACACCAGAAGTTCAGTGTGCGTAAAACCAAAAAAAAAAAGAAAAGGTCGGCAGCTCAAACCAACCAGGGGCTCCTTGGAAAACCCTATGGGGGCAGTTCTACTCTGTCCTATAGGGTCGCTATGAGACGTAATAGACTTGAGGCAACGGGTTTGGTTTTGGTTTTATTGTCCTATAGGGTCGCTATGAGTCGGCATTGACCCTAGGGCACACAGAAACAAAAAGCACATGGTAGGAGGAAAACTTCTCAGCTTCCAATCTATGTGACTTACACAACTTTCCTCTTTTCCTTAAATTGTGTGAAACGGTAACGGAAGCAGCTCTGGTCCCCAGGATCCCAAAGACTTTGAAATGGTTCAATAGGAGGAGAAGCAAGTTATGTTGGAAGGACAGAAACTGAAACCTCAGGAGGGACTGAGGGGGGAAGCTCACGACCAGTTGCCCCAGTCCACTCCTCCCGCCAGCCGTTCGAGACCCCGCCCAGCCACTGCACGCCCCTACCCTGCAGGCCCCGCCCCCTGCACAGCACAGCCCCCTGCACAGCACAGCCCCGCCCCCACCCGCACAGTCCCCGCTCTGCACAGCCCCGCCTCGCCCCCTGCACAGCACAGCCCCGCCCCCTGCACAGCCCCGGCCCGCCCCCTGCACAGTCCCAGCGCCTGCAAGCCAAGCCCCGCCCCCTGCACAGCCCCGCCCCGCCCCCTGCGTAAACCCGTCCCTTGCGCGGCCTAGCACACCGCGGCTTTTTCTGCGCATGCGGAAGATGCTCGCTTGGCGCGACTACCCCACGAGGGTGAGTGAGTGGCGTCTTTGTAGCTTAAACTCGCGCTTCGCGTCCACTCCAGCCCCCCGTCCTCCCGCTCGGGGTCCGGGGGACCCTGCAGACGCTCAGGTTCCCGCACCCTCCCCGCTATCGTCCCAGATCCGCGTCCGTTTCCGGTAAAACAGCTCCGAGGTCCGCCCGGCCTTCCCACTCCGGCCCGGGGACCCGCCTGCCACTTCCCGTCGGCCCTTCGCCGACCGCTCCCCACCTCCGCTCGGAGCTGCCCGCGGGGGTCGTCGCCTGCGTCCCCGGCCGCACCCCATGCCCCAGCACGCGAGTCGGGAAGTTTTGTTCATTTTGTCGTCATCAGCCAAATGATCTCCCTTTCATTTCTGAAGCTTATTATTTCTTTAAAGTTTTATTGATATTTACTTAATTTTAAATATGAAATTTGGTTTTCCTTTTTCCCTCTCGGTTTACAGATTTGAACAGTGGTTTATTTATTTTCAAGTCCACTTCTCCCCTTTTTTATTTTTTACTACTGTACTTTAGATGAAGGTTTATAGAACAAACTAGCTTCTCATTTAACAGTTAGTACACATATTTTTCATGACATTGGTTAACAACCCCACCACATGTCAACATTCTCCCATCTCGACCTTGGGCTCACTATTACCAGCTTTCCTATCCCCTGCTGCCTTTTTCTCCTTGCCCCTGGGCTGTTGTGCCCCTTTAGTCTCATTTTGTTTTATGGGCCTGTCTTATTTTTGGCTGACCGGACACCCGGGTGGCGTACTGGTTAAATGCCACAGCTGCTAACCAAAAGGTCGGCAGTTCGAATCCACCAGGTGCTCCTTGGCAACTCTGTGGGGCAGTTCTACTCTGTCCTGTAGGGTCGCCATGAGTCAGAATCGACTAGACGGCAACGTTTTTTTTAATCGCCAGCTGAAGGGTGAACCTCAGGAGTGACTTCATTACTGAGCTAAAAGGGTATCCAGGCGCCATACTCTCAGGGTTTCTCCAGTCTCTGTCAGGCCAGTAAGTCTGGTCTTTTTTTGTGAGTTAGAATTTTGTTCTGCATTTTTCTCTAGCTCTGTCTGGGACCCTCTGTTGTGATCCCGGTCAGAGCAGTCAGTGGTGGTAGCCGGGCACCATCTAGTTGTACTGGACTCAGTCTGGTGGAGGCCATGGTTCACCAAAGTTACCACGTATCTATTGTCTATTTGTGTTTTTTCCATCCCCACCCCTCCCCTCCGTCATAACCATCAAAGAGTGTTTCTTTTTGTGTGTAAACCTTTTCATGACTTTTTATAGTGGTCTCATACAATGTTTGTACTTTTGTGTTAGAGTTATTTCACTCAGCATTATGCCTTCCAGATTCATCCATGTTGTGAGATGCTTTGCAGATTCATCATTGTTCTTTATTGTTGGATAGTACTCCACTGTGTGTATGGACCATAGTTTGTTTATCCATCTGTTGCTGGGCATTAGGTTGTTTCCATCTTTATACTATTGTGAACAATGGTGCAGTGAACATAGGTGTGCATATATGCCTATTCATGTGACTGCTCTTATTTCTCTAGGATACATTCCAAGGAGTGGGATTGCCGGATCGTATGGTATTTCTATTTCTAGCTTTCTAAGGAAGCGCCATATCATTTTCCAAAATGGTTGTATCATTTCGCATTCCCACCAGCAGTGCATAAGAGTTCCAGTCTCCCTGCAGCCTTTCCAACAGTTGTTATTTTCTGTTTTTTTGATTCGTGCCAGTAATGCTACAGTGAGATGGTATCTCACTGTGGTTTTGGTTTGCATTTCTCTAATGGCTAGTGATTTGATTTGCATTTGATCACAAGCGTTTCCTCATGTGTCTGTTGGCCGCTTGAATGTCTTCTTTGATGAAGTGTCTGTTCATTTCCTTTGCCCATTTTTTAATTGGATTATTTGTCTTTTTGTTGTAGAGGTGTTGAATTTTCCTTTAGATTTTAGAGATTAGAACTTTGTTGGATCTGTCATAGCCAAAATTTTTTTCCCAGTCTATAGATTCTCTTTTTACTCTTTTGGTGAAGCCTTTTGATGAGCCTAAGTGTTTAATTTTTAGAAGATCCCAGTTATCTAGCTTATCTTCTGGAGTTTGTGTGTTGTTAGTTATGATTTGTATCCTGTTAATGCTGTTTATTAGGGCCTCTAGCGTCGATCCTATTTTTTTCTTCTATGATCTTTATAGTTTTTGGTATTACATTTAGGTCCTTCACACATTTTGAAGTAGTTTTTGTGTATAGTGTGAAATATGGGTCCCGCTTTGTTTTTTTGCAGATGGACATCCAGTTTTGCCAGCACCTTTTGTTAAAAAGACTGTCTTTTCCCCATTTGATGGACTTTGGGCCCTTGTCAGCAAAGATCAGGTGACTGTAGGTGGATGGATTTACATCTGGGTTCTCAGTTCAGTTCCATTGGTCAATGTATCTGTCATTGTACCAATACCAGGCTGTTTTGACTACTGTAGCTGTACAGTAGGCTCTGAGGTCAGGTAGCATGAGTGCTACTTTATTCTTCTTCTTCAATAATGCTTCACTAATCCAGGGCCTCTTCCCTTTCCATATAAAGGTAATGATTAGTTTTTCCATCTTTTCAAAGAATGCTGTTGGTTTTTGGATTGGGATTGCATTGTATTTGTAGATTGCTTTGGGTAGAATTGACATTTTCACGATGTTGAGTCTACCTGTGCATGAGCATGGTATGTTTTTCTCATTTGGTTTCTTGCAGTACCCCTCCCCTTTTTTTTTAAGGTCCCTCAGTGGCCCAAGTGGTTTGGGTTGGTGTACTAACCTAAAGAAAAGTTGGTGGTTTGAATCCACCCAGGGCTCTGCGGGGCTGCCAGGAGAAGGAACTGATTCCAGGCCAATGGGTTTCTTTTTGTTTTTTCTTTCTTCGTTTTTTAATAGTATGTTTTTAAAGATACATTTATTTCAGTATCATTGCTTTGACCACATTGCCTAGTTTTGAGTACTTTGATTCTTCATGGTGACAGTGACTCTAAATTGGTCATTTACCAGTTGTCACATAGGTTACAAAAACTTTTCCTGTCATCAGATTCTAAGTAAATAAACTTTCTTTTGCTTTTTGATTTGTTTAATTTTGCTTCCTCTATTTGATTTTTGTTGATGTTCATTTAGATTTCACTGCGCAAGAACTGTGGCCTACTTAATACCTCCTTTTTTTTTTTTTTTTTGAAATTGTTTCACGGCTTTATTTCTAATTGAAGACAACACAATATCCAGTAATAGGAGAACTGTTAAATATGGTGAGGTTTTCTTTATGACTCACTACATGGTCATAACTGATGAATGTTCAACCAGGGTATCCAAGTGTCTTTGCTAAAGGTTCAGTTTGTATCCACTAACATGTTATTGTTAGGTACCCGCCAGTCGATTCCAACCAATGACGCCATGTGACAGAGTAGAACTGCTCCGTAGGCTGTAATCTTTATGGTGCAGATTGCCTAGTCTTGGGTTCGACCCACCAACCTTTGGTTTAGCAGCTGAGCATTTAACCACTGTACCACCAGGGCTCCTTATTCACTAATTTAGATATACTAAATCCTCAGCATGCTTACGTTTTATTGTATTATAGACATGGTGATTTCAGTGGGAATTGTTTCTCATTTTTCTCTTCAAGCTTAATGATTAATCAATTTTCTTTGAATTTGTATGTTTCTATTTAGTCATATTTCCAACATACATTTTTATGTACATACTTAAACATGACTATCTTCGTGTTTAATTTTCCTTGTTGCTAGTTGCCATCAAGTTGATTCCATCTCGTGGCCACCCCATGTGTGCCAGAGTAGAAGTGTTCCATAGGGTTTTCTTAGCTGTGATCTTAATAGAAAATGAAGGCACTGTTTGTTTACTGTACGTTCTCATTGCAGTGAGGATGCCCTAATGGGCAGTCATGTTGATTTTCTCTGTAATCTACACGAATGACCCAGGAGCAACTTCATTCTTTAAAAAATAAATAAATAAATAAGCACTACCAGAGTTAAAGTACCACCGTAGTTAGCCAGATTCAAGGTTAAGGGCACTGTCCTCCGGACTGCCAAATCAGTCCGAGACTTCTGACACCAACTGCAAGTTAGGGAGTTTACCAAAACTGCCCTCAGGTTCCATATGGAAGGACTCTCAGAACTCATTGGAGGCTATTATACTCATGATGACATTTTTACAGGGAAAACATAGAAATTTGTTGTTGTTGTTAGGTGCCGTCAAATTGGTTCCAACTCATAGCGACCCTGTGAACAACAGAACGAAACACTGCCAGGTCCTGTGTCTCCTAACAGTTCTTGCTATGTTTGAGCCCATTGTTGCAGCCACTGTGTTAATCCAACTCATTGAGGGTCTTCTTCTTTTTCCCTGACCCTCTACTTTACCAAACATGATGTCCTTCAGGGACTGGTCCCTTTTGATAACATTTCCAAAGTACGTGAGATGAAGCCTTGCCATCCTTGCTTTTAAGGAACATTCTGGCTGTACTTCTTCCAAGATAGATATGTTTGCTCTTCTGGCAGTTCATGGAATATTCAGTATTCTTCACCAACACCGTAATTCAAAGGCGTCAATTCTTCTTCGGTCTTCCTTATTCATTGTCCCGCTTTTAGCATGCATATGAGGCGATGGAAAACACCATGGCTTGGGTCAGGCACACCTTAGTCCTGAAAGCGTTGTTGTTGTTAGGTGCCATCAAGTCAGTTCCAACTTGTAGCAACCCCATGTACAACAGACCGAAACACTGCCCAGTCCTGCGCCATCCTCACAATCGTTGTTATACTTGAGCCGATTGTTACAGCCACTGTGTCAATCCATGTCGTTGAGGGTCTTCCTCCTTTTCATTGACCCTCTACTTTACCAAGCATGATGTCCTTCTCCGGGGACTTGTCCCACCTGATAACATGTCCAAAGTATGTGAGGTGAAGTCTTGCCATCCTTCTAAGGAGAATTCTGGCTGTACTTTTTCCAAGACAGATTTGTTCG